CGCAACAAATGGGTGTCTCCGCCCTTTTTGCTTTGTTTTGTAGGGAAACCAACAAGAAAACCCCAGGGTGGGACACGCCCAAGGGTTGTCTCTCAAGCTGTTCCAATCCATTTAGGCAAGTTCCAGCCCTTCCGGATGCGCGCCTGAAGCACGAAGAACCTTGCAGCAGGCCAATAGCCAAACTTCCAAAGAGTGTCCCAGTGCAGCAAAAAGCAGACACGCGTACCGCCAACACCACCCGCCCGCCACAACCGCCACAAGAACAACACCAACAACAACAACCACCACCGCAACAACATCAATAGCGACACCGACAACGACGACAACAACAACGACGAGAACGGAGAACGACGACAACGACGACAACGATGACAACGATCACAACGACGAGAACGGAGAACGACGACAACGACGACAACGACGACAACGACAACAACGACCACCACAACGACCACAACAACAGCAACAGCAACAGCAACAGCAACAGCAACAGCAACAGCAACAGCAACAGCAACAGCAACAGCAACAGCAACAGCAACAGCAACAGCAAACAACAACAACAACAACAACAACAACAACAACAACAACAACAACAACAACAACAACAACAACAACAACAACAACAACAACAACAACATACAACAACCAACAACCAACAACCAACAAAACACACCGGCGACGGCGACGGGACGGCGGGGACGGCGGACGGCGACGGGCGATGGGCAAGGCAACCGGCAACGGCAACGGCAACCACAACAAACAACAACAACAACAACAACAACAACAACAACAACAACAACAACAACAACAACAACAACAACAACAACAACAACAACAACAACAACAACAACAACACAACAACAACAACAACAACACAAACAACACAACAACACCAACAACACCAACAACACCAACAACACCAACAACACCAACAACACCAACAACACCAACAACACCAACAACACCAACAACACCAACAACACCAACAACACCAAGCTCCTGCCTGTTGAACATCTTCTCCATCGCGCAGCAATCAATCAGCATCGTGCAAACCTGATTTGATATGTTGTGGTGTGCCCTTGAGCAATCTACCTTCAGCAAGTGCCAGGAATAGACGGAGCGCGCCTCCTTTTCCTGTCCTTCGGCGATATTCAGCTTGAGGATTTTGTGCACGCACTCCTGCAATCAGGCAAGATCTGTCAGGTGCTTTGTGAGAGGAAAGAAGGCGTGTGCAACGTTGGCCTCGAAGTGCACAGAGGACATGATGACGAGATAGATCTGCCTGACACAAAGCCACAAATCAAAGGCCTGGCACTTCGAAAACCCAGGCCTTCGGAGGTTCACCAGGTCTTGCTCCGTGAAGTCCAGGATTTTCTCCTCTCGACTTGGCCCGGGTCTCCACTTGAAGCCCGCAAAACGGTGATGTCAACTCTGCCCAGGGACTCTAACCCCAATCTCTCCAGCATCTTCAGAAGTTATACTCGAGCCCAGTTTGGTCACTCTCATGGTCACGTCCTTTTTGCAGGAGACAAAGGGTCAGTTTGCCTCAAAAGTCATACAACTCACGTGTTCAATACCATTTTCAGGTGTGCGGTGTGCAGGTGTGCGATTTGGCGTATGCGACACCAAATCATCTAACTCCAAGTGTCCCCTTGGGCGCCATGCAGGACAACACCTCTGTGTTGTCACCAGCCAATAGAGAAAGGAGGCGTTGCGCCGGTCGTTGAAGCATGGGTTCGTCTTACAATGGAGGAACGCTTCTCAATGGGCTTTCTTTTTCCTGTGGCTCCCTTTCAACACAATCCCAACACAAAGGGTTCAGCTCAAACGAACAATACGAGTATGTGTTTTGCTTTTAGGGCGCCTTGTTGGGGTTGTGCCCACCCAAATGCTTTTCGGTGTTCCTTTCGATTTTCCTTTGAACCAACTTGAAAGGGGTACCTTCGACAAAAAGCATTCAGGCTCTCAAAGGAGACATCTGGGCCACTTAAAAAAACAACAACCCTGCATTCAGCAGGTGGCTTGATGTATTTTCTGTATTGGAACCCTGAGGGTTTCCCTTGAAACTCTTTGACACAATTTGGTCTCCCTTCAAACTTGGCTTCCCTTTGGGTTTCCCTTGGGTCGCTCTGCTTCGCGCTGTTCGTCGTTTTGGAAACCAAAACTCAGATGCCCAGTGGCCACGGAAAAAAAAAGGGCATCTTTTTTTGTCGGTTGAGTTCGAAAGGGAACCCTTACCAACTGGGCAAATAAACGGAAACCAGTGCCTTCTATTCTTAACCACAACCTAAAAAGGACACCAACGGCTGTTCGTTGTTTTGGAAACCAAAAGAAAACACAACACATCCGGCGCCGAATCCCGTTTCTCAGCTCGGTCCTGCGCCCGCCGATCAGCTGCGGCGTCCGCCTCCTCGTCCGAATCCGCGCTGCTGTCGCTGCCTTCGTCCTAGCCGTCGCCCCAGCGAGGCGATATGGACGGACACATACATACATACATACTATACATATAGACTACTATATAGATATGCATGATATTACATCTGTGGGAGCGTATCTTTGTTCTGTATATGGAAATATATTCAAACAGCGGTGACTTCTCCCAGCACTTCAAGGACGTTGCAGCGTGAACCTCGTGCGACATGCACGCGAAACACCATGGGTCGTGGCTCCCTCACCCAAATCGCCTGGTTGACCTAGAGACAGCCAGCTGTTGACTCCCTCTAAAGGCTCAGTGACTCGAAGCAAATCGCGCTCGGCTAGATTAGGGGCTGACCAAAGGGACCCCCATCGTTTTGGCATTGTGCCTTTCAGGAGCGCTGCTGACCATGGAAGATATGTTTAAATTTTTGATACCAAGGCCATGGATGGGGCAAACAAGAATCTGTCCATGAATCAAAAACATGGCGTGCCTGCTCCAAGCCCAAGATCTCGCTGGAGATCAGCTTCCACTTGGCCTCGCAGATCGATCCCACCGCTCATCAAATCGCTCAACATTATAAGTAGCGCGTTGCGCGGGGATTGACAAAAGCCAACAAGCTGGGTCTCAAGAGATCCTCTAAACCAGTGGTGTTTTCCAATTTCCTTTTAGGGAGCCTATTGTGACGGGCCCCCTATCCGTGGGGGAGAAGGGCTATGGGTGGCTTTTGCTGGTGCCTTAGAAAGGGATTGTTGGTGTATTCATCGTCGCATAGGGCTGTAAAAGTAAACCATCAGTTGGTTGTGTATATTTATGTTCATCAGTTTTTGGTATATATGCTGTTGTCCATCAAGTTTTGATGGTCCCCTATCGCTTTTGCTGATGCAGGTATCGGTATTTGATGGCCCCTATCGGGCTCGCGTAGCATTGTCGGGCATTCTGCTGAGACAAATACTTGAAGCCGTCACGCGGACAAACAGAGTTTGTGCGGAAAGCTATGTAGCCAATGCGGCAGCAAAACCGAGTTGCATGGGTGCTGTGCAAATCAAGGTGACACCAACGAGTTCCGACTCTTAAGTCTCTCTCAAAAAAGGAATCCATAAAGTGTCTCCAAACATTTCCCTTAGAAGTAAAACAACCAAAACTGCCAACTCCAAACCAAACCCACATCCCCTGCTCCCAACGACGAAAGCCAGCTTCCCTAAAACCCCCACGATCCTCATCAGCAGCGTACTGCTCTGGCGGTATCGCCTGAAGGGAACTTGGGGTGAAACACGATGTTTGCCTTTGGCCCTCGACAACAGGATGTGCGTCTGTCCTTGCTTTTCTGAAAGCAACCCCCTTTTTTGAGGTCTTTCAAGGGACACCAAAAGGAATACCACCATTTTGCGGATCCCCTAAAGAAAGACACCTCCCGTATACTCCTCCAAAAAGACACACTTGGGGGTGCCTCGGCCTTTTCACCGGACTTCACAGCCAGGACGCTTCTTTAACCGAATCGTCACCCAGGACCCTTCTGATAAAATCGTGGTTTTAGTGAAGCCCTTCAAAGAGTCCATAGAAAGTCTGATAGGTGTCCTTTTGGAAAAATAGATAGCACTGGCAAATGGAATAAAACCCATCTAAACCAGTGCCTTCTATTTTGGACCAATTGTGCACAACACGGGCCGATGTAGTGCCCAATCTGGAGACTGCGCGCCTTTTTGGCTAAACTGCAGCCGGAGACGGGGGAAGCCCCATGTGAACTTTACCCACTCAGTCACCCCCAAAAGATAGAATGAATTTCCTTGCAAGGGGCTTGCCACCCCTGATTTCTACCTCCGTTGTCCCGAAGTTCATATTCGTTTCTGTGAGAAGGTGGCACTCACAACCTCTGCGATCAACGCAGTAATGGCCAGGGGAACATTAAGGATCCGTCTTTCCGTGTGGGACACGCTTTTCCATGAAGTAGCTTACAGTATATCGGTGTTTCTCAAAATACGGATTCCTAAAATGGATGGTTGTCCTTTGGGTTTCCCTGGTTTTTGTGATTGATATTTAGTGAGTCCCCGTCCCGCCCAAGTTGAGCACAAACGACTGGACTGTTCAACCGGGGCCTCATATGCTCTTCTCAGTTGATCGTCGAAGGTCCGAATTCTGCCATCATATTATGACAACTCCCTTTTTGTACTTCTGCGTCTTCAGGCTCCGGCTTTGAAGATGTTCAGTGTTTCTTCGCCTTTGACGGTCTCCTCGAGCAAGTCCACCTGACACAAGAAGACGAGAAGAATGGCGCATGCATCTGCACGAAACTCGATTTTCGGCCAATCTGAATCAAGGATGCCTAACCACCTGCGTCCTGTGCTCATTTCATTTTGACCCCGGCATAGGCTCGCTACAGCTAACGGCCTCGTGCGTAATCTGATCATCATCGTCAACCAGGTCAAGCTCCTCGAGAACCTGAAGTCTGAAGTGTGAGCAATGCGTGTGAGAAAACTCTGCATAGCCTGTCCACGAACTTGGAACACAGAGGGTCCCTTTCAAAGGAAAGTAGTCTTCCAGGGCCCCCATCAGTCAGGTTCCACGACTGATGAAGATGGGAGGGTATATACCTGCAATGAAACCAAGCGGCCATAGGATGGTCGCTGAACTTCTTCCTTCGCGTCTCGAAGAGCCCTTCGATGACGTACTGCACCCTCCTTCCAGCAAAAAACAACTCGAAGATCTGACTCTTGCATCGCTTGTGTCTCCGTTTGTATCTAGGTGTCTTCTTGTGGGTACGCCTGTTTTTTGCTCTTAAGGGAAACTCAAATGGAAACCCGAAGCCATACTTATGGGTCATCTACAAACGTGGCGCTCCACACGTGAATCTGACACTTGGGCCCGCGCTTGTCAATCTCACCCTCGTGCAGAATCGTGCGGAACCTTGCCGGAGCCCAGAATCGTGTCTGGCTGGAACAGCTGAAGATGTGTGGACAATGTGTTGACGACTTCGCAGGTGACTTTCAACAAAGGGGCACTCATGTTGCACTCATTAAAATGCGGATGATTCTTGAAGAGACTCTTGGGTGTAAAATGCGAGGATCATCAAAGTATTCCTATTCCGCTCGAAGCTGAACACCATCCAAGAGAGCCCAGCACACGTGCAAAGCTGCGAAAGGCTTGGCCCATTTTCCAGCGACATCAAACTACTCTCTTGAGATGTTCTATCGGGGCTTCCCAGCTCCAACTAAGAAACCAAGACCGAAAAGATGGGCTACCCCGCCCAAAAAAAAAAGAAGGAGGTGCTTTCCTTTGGTGCTCATTTAAGAACCCGGAAAAAGTCGGGGGGGGTCCCTCCACCACAACCCAGCCCCCCAAAGGGGATTCGATTTTCCTCATCCTTTTCCCCGAGGCCCCCGCCGCTCGAAGATGGCCTGGCACCCGGACTTCGAGAGATCCTCCAGCGCCTGGCCCACTTCCTGGCGGACGGATCGAGGCCGAAAAACGCCGCGACGTCCCAGGAAAATTCGTCCATGGGCGCTTGGACAGGCCAAAACCACCCAAAAAAACCACACGGGTGGTCCACCCCAAAATTGGTCCATTTGTACCCAAAATGGCTCACACAACAGCGCTGCAGGTACAAATGGACCCTTGGAGGGTGCTGGTGAATACCATAAGGAATCCACAGGAACTGTTCTTCAAATGCCCTGCTAAAACTGAAAAACTGGAAACCCAACCACCGAGCCAACAAAAACACCTAAAGAGCTAAGGTGATGGCTGGGAGCCACAAGCGCCTAGGTAACCCAAACAACCCCAAAAATACATGAATATAATACCAAGAAGCCCAACGGGAAACCAGAAGGAAACCAGATGAACTGTTGCTTGATTCAAACCCGAATACGCGTACCCACACTTAAAAAAGTGGCTGGATACCCATTCACCTGCAGGTAAGCCAGAAAACCCGAAGCCCTTGAAACCGATGGCCATTGGGGTGCAGCACCTGCTCTTTTGTATGGCCTGGGAAATGTCCGCCTTGCCGGAAACTTTCCACTGGGCCCGTGACCAAAACGGCAGCAACATTGAGTTCATCAGCTGTGTCGCTGACCGAGACTCTGAAAAACATCCCTCGGAAGAAGGGAGTTTGAAGCCTCGTAGTGTCTTGAGCACAGGTACACAACAGGAGGGCTGTGGTGGATGTAAGCCACGGTCAATGTCATAATGTTCATTCTTCAACTTGTCGTGACATTGGACTTTGGCGAGTCATCGGCTGCTTGCAATTTGGTGAGTATGGCACAGGCTGGTCAACCAATTTGGATGAGGCCAATTTCCAAACAAAAAATGGCACAGTTGTCATGTCATCCCGTTCACTATACAAGTACAAATGGTGAATGTTGGATCCCGGGCCGAAACTCCCTGTGGGAACCAGAGTTGGGAGCAGAATCACACTAAATGTAAAAATCCGCCCAACCAAACTTCAGTGCAATTCCTTTATCCAAATGTCAAAGGAACAATCGCGTGCCCCCCACTATGTGCCCCTAAATCACTGACCATTCACTTCCCGTGCTTGATGACTACAGCATGGCTCACCGTCACTTTATGTAGGCCCATCTGGACACAGTCCTATCATCCATTGCTGCCAATAGCTGTCAAGCACTCTCTTTGAGCGTGCGTTGATGCTCCAGCCACGAACCCGGAATGTGTCAGAGTAAAAGAAGTCCCCTTGCAAGGCAGAAGGCTTGGTTTCAATCGTCTGTTACCAGCCGCAGACGTGATTGCCAACACTCTCTGGATTCCCAGCGAGGCCACTGAACTCCACATCTCTCAAAGATGATCTCGCCAACTGACCAAACCAAAACCGGCACAAAGCACGGGGCTATGAAACACTCAGACCCGGGAGGCGAGACGGTTCACGAGGCGCTCAACCAGAGCAATTCCTTGACATGCTCTAGTCTTTGGCCAACTTGTTTACATTCCTCGCAAGCTGAAGCCTAAATGACACGAAGGCAATATAGTTTATCGTCTGTTGCCATCACTGGTGGCTGCCAAGCAGATTGGAGCTAGCGCAGCTCGGCAGCGTTGATCTCCGTGCCATCACCAGTGCAACAAGAAACACCACCATTTAGCGCCCAGAGGCTCGCAATTGATTTAGGGCCCTCAAACAGCCAGGTTTTGAGACCCCCAAACACCTTCAAGGTGTCCGATGGAGGGGTCGGGGCTTCCATGGAAAGCCCCAGGAGCCTTTGGGTGGTCTCACTGACAGTTGCGAGCAGAGTTGCGAGCAGTGTTGCGCGCGGATTTAGTCGCAATGCTGCTGCCTAAGTTCTACACAAACTGGAAACAAGCGAAGCTAAGCAAACGATGCTGTGGGTCAAGCACCGCGCTGTCACTCGACACTAGTGACACAAAAATGCGCGCAACAATCGTGGACCAAACACCCACCTGTCCAAAGACACCAAATTCTCCTTCCGCTGTTCCTTGCCTTTTTTCTTCTTTTTTTCGGAGGGTATCCTTCTTTTGTCCCCCGTTGCAGTTTCGTTTGGAACAAGCCCCCAACTCAACCCCCCGTCCTGGAGGAAGCTGACGCAAACCTCGATAGAGTCCTCCGCAGAAAAAAGTCAGACGGCCCTGAGCCACTCAGCCCTGCGTGACCCACGACAAGACTGTCTCACTTCATGTCAGGGGTTCGCTTGGCCACTCACAGCCTTGTTTGGGTCACTTCCCAACTGTTCTTTTAGCAGAAAACACGTTGGGGTGCCTTGTGATCACAAAGTGGTTCATTCTCACAGTGACTCTTAGCTTTGTCACCAAAAACCGGGGAGGGGGGGTTCCATAACTTGGCGAGAACAGAAAGAATACCAGCACTCCCATAGGCGTCCTTTTGGAAAAAAATACATGGGTTCCCCTGGTAAATGGAAACAAAAAAAAACAAAAAACATCTAAACCAGCGCCTTCGATTCTTGGGCCAACCTACAAAGGGACACGTATAGAAGGCGACCTTCCCCGAACCCCCGGCGGCCGCTTGCTCGTGTCGTCCTCCGTCACGCGCTCCAGCAACAAGGTGGCCACATGCAACGCCAGCAGCTCCGAGCAGATCTGAGCAGAAAACGAGCAGAACCCTTCCACACAACGCGTCGATCTGACGTCCGGGGGAAACGGCCCCAAGCTTCGGCGTCTTTTGGTTTGGGTCGTGTTATGTTTGAGTCAGTTCTGTTGTGTGTTTAGTTTCTGTTGCTTTTGTTTGTTTTGCCGGTTAAACGGAAAATGGATAACAATGGCCAGTGTGTCAAACAAAAGGAGCATTTCCCCCCGATCAAAAACAAACACACGCAAAAAAGTTAAAGGAGGGGTTTCTTTTGCTTCCGGAATGGGTGTTTGTTTGAGTTGGTACTCTTTTGCGGGAAAATGCAGAAGAAGCTTGGTTCATGGTTGTGTTTGTCTTGCTTGTATTGTTGATGTCCGAAATGACCTTGCGCTGATTTCCCTCTCCCCTTTTTTTTTGGCGGGGGGCTGAGTTGGTACTCTTTTTGGAGAAGGGACACAAACCATCCATGTTTGTGTGCTTGTTTTCGGAGGCAATTTTGACTCATACCCAAATGACGAAACAGAACCGAGAGACCACAACGAAAGCCAAGAGGACATTGGAACTTTGGGGTTGGTCTTCCCCTGGTTCCACGTGAGGGTCTTCCTGGGTGCTCTTGGTCCTTGCTGCACGGCAGAGAATGGAAAGAGAGAGGGATATCCTCTGTTTGCCCGTGGGCAAGCTGAGTAAGGAAGCCCACTTCGGAAACCTAGGCTCCTTCCCCCCGAAAGGTGCTGACCTTGGGGCATCTGATCCAAGGCTTCGGAGAACCGTTTTGGGGCCCTAACGTCCCCTCGAAAGGGATCAGAAAGCTTGTTTTGGGTGTCCTTGACCTCCATGTGCCATCAAAAGTCCCAAAATGTGTCCGAAGTCATGGCTTAGGAGCCCTTACTTGGGTGGTCGGCCCACTTACTAACTTGGCCGAACATCCAAGTGCCATTGTCGACATTCCACAAGGCTCCATCGCGCATCTGGGCGAAGTTGCCCTGCGCTCAGTCCCCGCCTTCTGGTTCACTAAGTGAGCCATGAACTTGATTGCAGCGGTTGTGACGATCTTGTCATTCCTGGCGCCAACTATAGAGCTTCTCAAAATAGCCCCCCGCCTTTCTGGCTGGTATTTGAAGCGATAAACACATAGCAACTCATCACTTTTGGGCTCCAAACAAACCCATTCTCGCCATTCCCGCTCCCCCCCCCCCCTGCCACGCCCAAGGCCCCCAGTCTGGTCGCAAGCCCTGCCTCTTGTAGGCGCGACGGAACTGCAAAATCACTCGCCGAATGAGCAGATCGCCAACCTCCGGCCTGCGCAGCCGCGACCAAGGCTGATGGTCACTTGTGTGTCGCTTGGGGTGGTTTCCTTGCGGCGTCTTTCCAAAAAAACGCCAGAGCTGTGCTAAAATGATGGGCACCTAAAAAATTGGCATGGGAGGGAATGTGCATCACACTCCATGGCTTTAATGATAGGAATTAATACTGCAATAAGACTTGATTTGCAATTATTTCCAGTGATGGAGGTTGCTAGTCTATCCACCAAGGAGGTCGCGGTGCTGACTGCGAGTGGTGCAATTCAATCTCTGCAAGAAATCTAAAAAGTAACGGGGGGAGGCGGCAACCCCCCCACGATGTTTGAAGAAGAGCTTATTCAAATAGGGTGGTGGTGATGCTGATGATGCGGGAAGCCAAATCCAAAAACCAATGAAAGGGTGCAAAAGCCAAAAAGCCCGGAGAGGAACTGGGAAAGCAGAGGATGCGAAAAGCCAAAGCCGCCAAAAGCCGCATAAACCAGCGAAAAGCCGCAAAAACCAAAACGCCACCGGCCGAAGAGGAAAAGCCAAAGGGAAAACCGCTGCGCCATTTTGGGCTTCCCCCTACTGTGAACTACCTAAGAGGCCCTGGCTTCTGATCATTCCCCTGTAAGTACCAACAAATCATGGTTTCAACCATGGTATCATTTCGTGGTGCGAAATGGATTTTGCAACCATCCACAACATTTTAAGACACACTCTACGTAGGCGTCCCGAGCGTTTTTTCTTCTTCCGACGCCCTTGGGGCCCTAGCAGCTTGGAGTTGATCACTGCCAGAAGCGCTGCAAAGACCTGAGTTGACGGTGCCTCTGAATCCATGGGTGTTCATAGCTGTCCTGTGGGGGAAATCCGCCGACCCCTTTGCAAAAGCCAAGTTAGTCTCTGCAAAGGGGCGAGGCGTGTTCTAAGTGGTGGTTAGGGGGAGTCTGAGGGGGGAGGGGGGGTGCCGCGGCGCCTAACCTCTAACCCGAACCTCTAACCCTAACCTCTAACCCTAACCGCTAACTCTAACCTCTAACCCTAACCTCTAACCCTAACCTCTAACCCTAACCTCTAACCCTAACCTCTAACCCTAACCTCTAACCCTAACCTCTAACTCTAACCTCTAACCCCTAACCCTAACCTCTAACCCTAACCTCTAACCCTAACCTCTAACCCTAACCTCTAACCCTAACCTCTAACCGATAGGACGGAAGACTATGGCAAGCTGACGGAAGACTACCGGAAGATGACGGAAGACTACGGGAAGCTGACGGGAAGATGACGGAAGAGTGCGGAAAGATGACGGAAGACTACGGGAAGAATGGAAGATGACGGAAGACTAAGGGAAAATGACGGTAGACTACGGGAAGGGAAGCTGGCGGGAAGATGACGGAAGACTACGGGAAGATGACGGAAGACTACACGGGAAGCTGACGGAAGACTGCGGGAAGATGACGGAAGACTACGGGAAGATGACGGAAGACCATGGCCGGGAAGATGACGGAAGACTACGGGAAGATGACGGGAGGCTGACGGAAGACACGGGAAGATGACGGGAAAATGACGGAAGACCACGGGAAGATGACGGAAGACTACGGGAAGATGACAGAAGACTACGGGAAGATGACGGAAGACTACGGGAAGATGACGGAAGACTACGGGAAGATGACGGGAAGATGACGGAAGACTACGGGGACCATAACCTCTAACCCTAACCTCTAACCCTAACCTCTAACCCTAACCTCTAACCCTAACCTCTAACTCTAACCTCTAACCCTAACCTCTAACTCTAACCTCTAACCCTAACCTCTAACCCTAACCTCTAACCCTAACCTCTAACCCTAACCTCTAACCCTAACCTCTAACCTTATCCTCTAACCGTGAGGATAGAAGATGATGGGAAGACTACGGAAAGATGACGGAAGACTACGGGAAGCTGACGGAAGGATGACGGAAGACTACGGGAAGATGACGGAAGACTACACGGGAAGCTGACGGAAGACTGCGGGAGATGACGGAAGACTACGGGAAGATGACGCAAGACAAGATGACGGAAGACTACACCTGACGGAAGACTACGGGAAGATGACGGAAGACTACGGGAAGATGACGGGAAGATGACGGAAGACTACGGGAAGATGACGGAAGACTACGGGAAGATGACGGAAGACTACGGGAAGATGACGGAAGACTATGGGAAGCTGACGGAAGACTACGGGAAGACTACGGGAAGCTGACGATGGATGATTGCATCCCGCGCAGACGTAACATCACCCCAGGCACTTGCAGGACGATGCTGGTGAAGCTGGGGATGCAACAGCTGCTTTTTTTCCCGGGTCTCCAAGACCAAAAAGGCAGCCCCCGCATCCCCAGCATGCAACGCATCACCCCAGGCACTTGCAGGATAATGCTGGTGAAGCTGGGGATGCAACAGCTGCCTTTTTTCCCGGGTCTCCAAGACCAAAAAGGCAGCTCCCGCATCCCCAGCATGCAAAGCATCACCCCAGGCACCTGCAGGATGATGCTGGTGAAGCTGGGGATGCAAAAGCTGCCTTGTTTCCGTGAAAAGGCTGACAAAAAAGGCATCATCCATTATCATCACATCGTCATCCATCATCATCATCATCATCATCATCCTCATCATCATCATCATCATCCATCATCATCATCCATCATCATCATCATCGTCGTCATCACCATCATCATCATCATCAGCGTCATCATCCCCAGCATCATCATCATCATCATCATCATCATCATCATCATCCTTATCATCATCAGCATCATTATCATCATCATCATCATGCATATCAGCATCACCATCATCGTCGTCATCCAGCATCATCATCATCATCATCATTCATTATCCATCAGCATCATCATCCTCATCGTCGCATCATCATCGAACCTGCCTTCTTTGTCTTCGAAAGTTGCTCTCAACCTCCGACCTGAGCCTCGGACGTTTCACCCCTGAGATCTTATTATCTTATATTGCAGACCATCCCATTGTTTCCTTTCTCTTTCTTGCTTACGGCTTTCGTTGCCTATCTTATCTGGTACCCTTGTTTTTATGTTGGGTGATCTTCATTCTGGTACACTTTTCTGTGATCCAATATTTCGAGGAGATCCAGTCCATCTTTAGTACACCTTCGAGTTACTTGTGTCTTCTTTCCCCTCTTTTTTTTTTTCGATTTTTTCAAAAAAAAAAAACAAACAAGCCACCTCGCGAAATTAAGGGTCGACCTCGCACCTCGTAACCCGCCTTCTCACGGAAAAAAGCTTCATCCAGCATCAGCATCCTCATCCTCAGCATCCTCATCCTCATCATCCTCATCCTCATCCTCATCATCATCATCATCATCATCATCAGCATGGTGACGGTCGTCATCTAGAAAAACGAAATCAAAAGCTACGCCCGCTTGCGATGCAAGGGATGCTACGATTACAATAGCAATCCATTGGGGGTCGGGGGCATCAGGCGTCAGCCTGCTAAATAGATGGCTCTGGTAGATGAGTAAACTGGTAAACTAGGAATCACCATCTATTCTTTTGCCAAAACAACCAAAAAGGACACCTATGTGGGTGTTGCTCAACCCCGGCGCAGACACGGTGTTTGCGTCCGTTGATCTCTGAAAAAGAAAGTGAGCGGTGGCCAAAATCAGAAGGAGAAAAGGTCATACTGTGGGTGGACCAGTTGGGATGGATGAAACACTGTCAGAGCTGGGATAAACCACTGACCATCTGGTGCAGGAATTTGTCCATCCACAGTATGGGACGGGTATCCGCGCAAGTCGATGATTGAGGTGTCTAAGAACATTGCGAAGGCATTTTCGAGGGTTCTGATCTATGCACCAACTCCTGGTGGGTGTAGCCATCGTCTGCGAATTCTGCTTTCCAAGGCTTGAGAGGGATCGGTCCCCAGGGTTGAGCGCGGCCATAACTTAATCCCCCCCTCAAAAAAAAACACCAAGAAGAAGAAATGGCGGATCGCAACCCAGAAATAATAGGCGGCTCCAATGTATGGCCGTCTGGATTTGGGACCAAAGTCTTTGGGCAGTTGTGGTGCCAATGGAAAATCCCCCGAATCTGCGATACCAGAGTTGGAGATTGTCCAAAACTCAATGGGGGGAACCCAAATCTTAAAGGACCTGATCCAACCAGTGATGCCAAAGTGGTCGATTCTCATCCCTGCTTTATCATTTGGAGGGAAACCGCTTGGCTCACAGAAAGCAGCAACATCTTTAGCTTAACCCCAGGGGTGGTTGATTGCTCCAAATGTAGTTTGAGGTTGGGCTCGGTCTTTTTTTTGAGGGAAGCTAAAGGAAAGTCAACCCCCCAAATGTCACCAGAAATTGTTCAAATGGTGGTTTCCTTTCAATACCTCTGGCAACTGGAGGCACTGGGTATGTCTCAAAGAACCCAGCCCTTTGCCTTTCATTCTAGGGTTTAATTCCCCATTCTTTTCCACCGTCGTTCTGTTCAAAAACCAGCTGTTTCCCAGGGTTTTTGATGGTTTCCTGAAAAGAAGGATCCCTGGAAAGAATGGGGAAGCTTCCCCTAGACTAATTCCCCTTTAAACCGACCAACCAAAAACAGTACCTGGATGGCCAGTTGCGAATCGCTATGTGCCCAGCAACTGTGACTGAATTTCAGGGCAACGTCCTTTTCGAAACTTGGGGATCCAGGCACTTCCAGCAAGTTGGCAAGCACGGGGTGATGTGGGTGGCTCAATTTCTTTTTTCGAGTTACCCCTTTTGAGGCTGGTTTCTATTGGAAAACCTGGGCGATCCAGGTACCCTCAAAATGGGCGATGGCACCAATCCCACTGAGACCAAGCGCATGGGTGAAGCCGGGCGAAGCCATCTGCGCTCTGATCAGCGCACCTCAGTGACCCAAACGCAACCGCGGAGCCCGGGTTTCATTTGGGCTTGGGTCAAAATACCAGAACCCTCAAAATGGTTGGGTTCCTTTTGGTTTTGCTTTGAAGCCACACAAAAAGAAGGTGCCCTCCAAAAACGGCACTCGCTTATTTTTCGGCCGCTCCGAAGACTCAATCCCAGGAATCGGCTCCGCTTCCTCAGGAAATCAACCACCGGGAATCTGGGTGTACCTTGATCAAATCGAGAAATGGAACCCTTCACACATCTCCGAGAGGCTTTGCGAGCCACCCTTGGGTTCTGAAAAAGGGAACCACACTCAGGTCAGCGCCCAGAGACACTACGCACATTGCAAAGAAGCTTCTTTAGATATAGGCTTTATTACCCCCACAATTCAACCAGGCACTACTCCCTCAACGTGGAAGCTCCCAAAAGGCCGAGAATCGAAGCCACTCAGCTCGGGACGCACGAGCAGGCCGCGGCCTCGCACCAGGTTCTCCTGGAACAGCTCCTGCATTCGAATGCCAAGGGCAAAAATCGGAGAGAAGTGGCTCCAAAATGGCGCAAGCGTTTTGCTTTTGGCGTTCGAACCTTTAAAACCACGAAAAGGGGGCACCCTCAAAACAAGACGGCCTTATCACAGAAACTTCAACTCAAACGAAACACTGACCCAAACGCGCGGCCAATCCGATCTTCAGGAAAACCATTGGCTCGGGTTTCGGATTGATTTTTTTTACCCAAAATCGAATGTCTTGTGTGCTTTTGGCGTCTCTATCACTTTGGTTCAAAGGAAATGAAAAGGAAAATCACAAATTGTGGGGTCCCCCCAATTGACGCATACGAACCAGCCAATCTGTCCATTTCGAGGTACCTGAATCAGCATGGGAACTCCCAACTCATCCAGGTGGTTGTCTTTTTTCGGCGCCCTCAAAATGGTGGCGTTCCTTTTGGTTTCCCCTTAAACCACAAAAAGGGGTGTCTCAACAGGTGAAATCTGGAAACCTGTGGGCATTCCCACCCTTTGGCTGATTTGCTTCGGGGGAATATCTTCCAACGGAAGAAGAAGCTCATCCCTTTGGCCCCCCCTTGTGAAACCATGGTCATATTGACCCCGGAATCAACTCAGATCAGGTCTCAAAATCGGGGACCCATGACACTGGGCTCTATATTGACTGCCACCCAGTCCTCCACTATGTTCTTGATATTGCCAACCTCGGATCAAGAGAGTTTGGTCCGACCCAGAGCAACCTGGCTTCTCGACATCAATCAATGCCGAACCTGGCAGAAAATTGGGCTTAGCACCCGATGTGCAATCTGCGCGCATACAGTCTGCCATCCTCCCCGAACGCAGAGCTTCAAGACAAACGTGGTGACACACACACACACACACCCGCGCACGCACTGGCATGCTGCCCAAGGCGCGTTGACTTTGTTCACCAAGCCGTTGATACTTTTTCTGAGGGCCTGAGGAGACAGCTTCCATTTGGCAAACAATACTGTGTCTCTCGCTTGGAACTTGGGGCGTGCGTGCAACGTGCCTCCCAGGTTTGCCTCTGGTACTCCGCGCTGGTCTTATCCTCGATCTCCTTCTGCATTCGCGCCAGCCTGAGACCAATGTTTTCATGCGATCGGGCTTGGCCCCAAGGAACTCCAAACACTCACCACCCATTTGAGGGGAGAGACAAACCCCATTTGTTTGCTCCAAACATGTGAAGCCCTTTTCCAGCCGTGTCAAGCCAAGATTCTTGAAGGGAGGAACATATACCTGGGCGAGTGAGCTCGAGCATCATCGCGGACTGATCATGACAGACTTCAAGCTTGGCGATAGAAACTTCATGACTCGCCTCATTGCAGCAAAGCGACACCACCGCTTCTGCCCAAGTTCTCCAAGTCCGCAATTTTCCGCTTCCTTAAAGTGGCTCTGTTGATGGTCAACCGCTGTCCACTCAAGCTAATCTTAGGCGTTGGTTGAAAACGTAGACTCTTGGCTTCCAACACGCACACATCCAATCAACACAAATCGGGAACCCTGGAGGCATGCACACTCATCGAGGCACTTGTAGCTTTCAATGTCTTCTTCTTGCTTTGCCTGACCAAGAGCGCACTGCACTTTCCTCTTGCCACCGTTCATTTCATGTTGGAGTGCAGGCATGTCAAAACCATCCGGGAACTGGAGGAATGTCATCCGCGATTCCGGGCACTATGCAGTTCTGTTGGGGTATATATAACACGTGGATGGGGGCTAACCAACGCAGTAGTGAGAGAACAAATCTTGCCTTTGGGGGGCAAGAGTTCTTCTGCAAACCCCTGCCGCAGTTCGGGCAACGCTGGCCTCCTTGCTTGCCATGGCAGGCAACGATTCTCTTCTATGCACGTGAAAGTTTCCCGTCTCAGCGCATAGGCGATCCAATGTGGGGTGATGTTGTCTTCATAGCTTGGAGGCAAACTGCTTTGCTTGGGTATCATGGTGCAAGTACATTGGTTTCTAGTGTATCTTGAAACCAACCATAGTGACAGCCATGTGCTTCTACGCTGCGGACGGCGAAGCTTCTCCTCATACCCACTCATACCGCCCACATATCTGCAAGTTCTGTCAGGACTGAAGCAACGGCCTGCCAGGAATGTTGAAATTTCAAAATGCCGCGAGTCAAACGAGGCGCATGGGGTCTGTGCAAGGCCTTCGGCATTCGCACATCTATCTGTGAAACCAGGCTGCCACCGCACCCAAAACGTGTGAACGATGCACGCATTCAAAATATGCTCTTTGGCATCGGGGTGTGGGTCTCAAAACAGGGGCGACCCCCCAAAATGTGTGGCTTGCTTCAAAAAACCACCCAAAGGAAGGTGCCCTGCAAAACGACACACCCATGTTCTGAGGATCAGGTCCTACGTTCGGCATACCTCACCAGGGCTCCGTCTCCAGGAGGCACTTCCTGCAGAGCACTTGCACACCCCTCCCTCCAATCGGGTGTCTTTGTGTCAGGGTCCCCGATGCTGGTTTAGAGGGACACAAAAGGATCCTCTGCGGCAAGGCCTCATGGTACAAGTGAGGATTCAAATGCGGGCAAACTAATCCCTGCAAAACGGAAGACCCCCCCCCATGATGATCGAAAAAATAGGGGCAAAGAATCTAAAAAGTAGCTGTCGCATGATGATCGAAAAAGTGATGATTCAATTAGGCGTGCATTTTAATCGAAAGGGGGGTGGCGGGGGGCCCGGAGAGGAACTTGCGATGCTGAGGATGCAGGAAGCCAAGGCCAAAAACCAACTGGGAAAGCAACAGGATGCGACAAGCCAAAGCCAGAAAGCCGCCAAAAGCCAAAAAGCCAAAAAGCCAAAAAGCCAAAAAGCCAAAAAGCCAAAAAGCCAAAAAGCCAAAAAGCCAAAAAGCCAAAAAGCCAAAAAGCCAAAAAGCCAAAAAGCCAAAAAGCCAAAAAGCCACCTGCCGCAGCGGAACTGGCAATGCAGAGGATGCGAAAAGAGAGGAACTGTGAATGCAGATGATGCGAAATGAAAAGCCACAAAAGCCACAAAAACCCACGTAAAAGCCACAAAAACCAAAAAGCCGAAAAGCCACCGACCCTGAAAAACAAAAATAATTCCTAAAAAAAAACGAAAGAAATTCCTAAAAAAAATGGCCCTCCCTGGACAATTGCAGCTTTCGGAAGAAAGGGACGCCGAAAAGATATCAAAGTAGAATCGAAGGACAACGAATGAAAGAGAAGCCCGGTAAAAAGAACGCTCATTCTGGCAGTCAGCCCCCGTCAGCCACAGCCGCGCCTCCATGGCACGTTCCTCCGCAGCCTGCAGTGAATCTCTGGACCCCTCGTTAGATCCCCTTTTTGAAGGCCCCACCTGAAACCGAGGTAAAAGGGATGAAGCACGGAATGTCACCAATACGGCTCAAAACAAGGGGGTACCCTCAAAGAAAGACACACCGACATACTGCCCACTTTGCGCCTGGAAACTATGGATGAAACCTCTGGGATAAGCCAACGAATTCCATCCCTGCAGGATTTGGCCCATCCAGAGTAATTACATCAGAGAAGCTAACCAAAAGGAAGCTCCCCCCAAAAAAAGAAGAAGCACGCACACCAAAAGAAACATATAATCTCTTTTGTATACACATGGGTATGGGTCATTTTTTTTAGTCCTTGGTTCCATTTACCAGGGTTCCATTTTGGGTAATTACCTATTTTTGACCCACAGCCACATATCATACAGGCAATGGTGTGCACAAACCACGCCACGTGTGCGTGCTTCGCCGTCTCCGCCTTCTGTGCCTCGGCTGCTGCTTGACGTTGGCCTGTTCCAGGAAGGAGCGTAGGTCCTGCCGAACGGAGCGAGCGTCAGGCCGTTTGGAGCCTGAGTCAAGGAAACCAAGTAGGGATACAAGGGGAACCAGTTGGATGCGCTTGAGAATTCCCCCGTTTGATGCACCTTGACTAAGTTTGATTTAGGAAATGGCGCCAAGTTGGAATCCCCCCACATCCCCGCTCCCTCCGTATCCCCGCTTGTTCGTTTGTCCAACCTCTGGTGAAGTTTGCCTCCGGGAGATCTGTCGGGTTGGGCCAGCTGGCTGAAAAACGTTTCTTTGCACCTGTTGGTTCCCTGAATCGAACCGTCGGGGGTTGAAACGACCCTTTGGACCCTGAGGATGGTATCTCTGAGATCTGTCAAATGGAACCACTTGGGGGAACAAAAAGGAAAAGCACCGAGGTCCACTTCCACTTTTACACAACGTGCATGGCAATTCTTCCAATTGGTTGGCCCTTTGGTGGACATCTATTGGAACTTGTGTAAACTCCCATTTGCGTGGCTGTTTCAACCATTCAAACGCAAAACCACTTGCCCCCGAAACGAGTAGCCGCCAGCCAGTCACACCCACAGAATCCCAGGTTGTAGACTGCTGCAAATGTTTGACCGAACCTCTTGTCTCTTAGTCTTGGTCTGCAAACTGACTACTGTCATGGCCAGCCGAGCAACGAACTTGCCGCATGGGCAACGCGAGCGGTAACGTCCTCAGTGAGGACGCCCAAGCCGATGGCAGTGAAGTAGTTGATGGCAAAGCGGACGTTCTTTGGATGGTCCTGTGTGTGTGTGTGTGGGCCGTGTGTGATTCCGAATGACCTACCGAGGATTTCTGGAAAGTGGTTGATGACCATGGGTGACCTTTTCCAATTAATGGGAAATATCAATCTTTGTCGGTGGTTTTCCAAACCATGGTCATCCCATGTTTACCGGACCCTTTGATCATGCCCAAGGGCTTTAAAGCAACCCGCACCCAGCCAAGGAGCCCAGTTGTGTGTGTGTGTGTGTTTTTCTTAGGGGACTTCGGTTTTCCTGTTGGCTTCCCTCTACAACCACAAAAAAGAGCTACCCTACAGAAAGACACACCCACCTTGGCCTGAACCTAGGCTGCCAGACCGGCTAGAACCACCTGGTGAGGTGGAGGGTGTTCAGTCGCGGTTCGCTCAAAGACGCGGCTTAAGACCTCAGCCATAGGTGTCCTTTTGGAAATATATATGGGTTTCCCTGGTAAATGGAACAAAACCCATCTAAACCAGTGCCATCTATTTTTCACCACCCTATCCCAAAAAGGACACCTACTGTCCGTGGACGAAATCCATTTCGCACCACCTAAGAGATGGTTTCTGATCATCCCCCTGCAAATACCGGCAAATCATGGTTTCCACCATGGTATCATTGTGTGGTGCGAAGTGGATTTTGTCCATCCACAGCATGACCTCAGCACCTCTCCTTGGGGAAGAGGCCCACGAAGAAGGGCTTCAACTCCTCCTCCCGAAGTCGATCCACCAGCTTCTTGATGCCCCACCTGTAGCGGGACTTCTCAGAAGGGTTGGATACCCCAAGAGATGCCCGACATGGGCTGCGTCACAATGGAACCCCCAAAATGATTTGGCTTCGGGGATCCGGTTTTGGGGGATCCCATTTGGGGTACTCAACAAAAATACACTCCCAATTGAGAATGACTGTCAGGATGCAACGGCCAACCATTTTGCACCAGAAGCTGTGACTGAAATCCTGAGATGCTGAGAAGCTGGCAGTTCAGAAAGCTCTTGGAAGATCACCTCAAGGCATTCCACATGCGCGTGGCGCTTCTCCCCTCCCCCCCACCACACAAAAGGCTATGTGGCCATGGGGCATAACCGCACAACCTATGGCGATCCCATTTTGGGGTGGATGAACATCCCTTTGCCACCTATTTTGATGTTCACCAGGGGTACCATTGGCTTTGACAACCACAGCCATCAAAGCGGACCCCCCCCCTGTCATGATTTCATCCCGAAACGCCGTGAATTTCACATGGTAGGCCTCCGTTGTGGCGCCGTCAACATTTGGACGCTGAAAGCTTCCATTTGCTGAAGTCCCGTAGATGTTTTTTAATGTATTTGTTGAAACAAAAAAACATCCAGTAGTGGTGGATTCCCTTTAAGACCAAGGGGGGAGAATAAAGAAAATCAAGATGCTTGAGCAAATGGAGGTTTACGACGAAACCACAATCCCAAAAAGCAACATGCCTGTGAGCGCGAAATCCGTCGGCGCCTTGATGAAGATACGGGAGCTGGAGGTCGTGGTTTCTTCGGAGATCTTCACCTGAACATCGGCCCTAACCCATTCACTTTTCTGGCTTAGTTACAAAGGTTAGGCTTTGCTATCCCAAACCCAAGTGGAGCCACCTAGAAATCGGTTGCGCCAATGCCTGCGCCCAAATACTCCAAGGAATTGCATCCTGAAGCGGCCGCGTGTGACGAGCGCGGGCGAGCCGGGCAGGCCGGAGACCGCGGTATCTGGACTGCTGGAATCAAAGGTGTTTTTGGCTGCCCCCCCCCCCCTCAAAATGCTCGGTGGCAAAAGTCCCACTTTCTGATGGGTCCCCTGAGAACAAGCTGCACACCCAATGATGCAACATATGGCCAAGCGGAATGCACATCGACTTCGGCACAGTCCGTATAGAGGAGATGGGCAAAGAACTTCCCAATGTTCCGCAGCTTGTTGGTTTCTAACCTGGCAGCGCATTTCTCTTTGAGTCTTCAAAACCTGGCAGGTACCCATTTTTTTTTTTTAAGGAAGGGGATACTTACCACATCTATCTTTTATGGCAAGGTGGCATGTGGCTGACCCCCAAAACAGGGGTTTCAGGGTTGTTTCTCCCTTTTCAAGGGGGTGGGGGGCGCAACGCATTTTCAGGCAGGTTGTGAACCTGCATCTGCGCAAGTGGGTCATTCTCAAACCCCAAAATGATTGCCTACTGACAAACAAAGACAAAATTGGGGTTCTCTCGCTCTCTCTCTCTCTCTCTCTTTCTTTGGGGGGACACCTGCTTTAGATTGGTGGTCTGGAGGATAGGGGTGGTGTCCTTTCCATCTACAAGAACCAGGGGCTCTTCTGGCCTGAGGTAGGCTTCACCAATTAAGTGAGCCACAAAGAAACGAAGCGACGGATCTGCTCGAAGCGCACCTGTGCACGGTGTTGAACTGCACGCCGAAGGCTTCGGTGAAGTTGTCCTCTCGTCGCCAAAGACGACTTCATAGGGGACTGTGTTTTTGAGTTGGTAATTACGCTTTTTGGGGCTTGGCTTAAAAGAAACAAAAGGAACAATTCCTACTTCGACACACACTCATGAATGTATGTTTAATTTGTGATTCATGGTCTAGGCGGGTGATAGTCCGTGTTGTGCATGGGGTCTTAGTAAAAAAAACAGAAACAGAAAACAAAAACGCAACAGATCACCAAGAGATGTTCCAACGCTTATCCGTGCATATATCTCGTACCCTCAACAAAAGCACACGCCCAGGTGGGCTTCTTTTTTACCCGCCAAACAATAACCTCAAATGAAACGCTAAAGAAGTTAGGAGC